TACATGCAACTTTTAGCACTTGTTAAAATATTGTTATGTGTAGAGAAAAAAAAACAAAATAGAGGGTGTTGATATTAGTTATTTATTCATGTAAATTAATATTGAGTTTCATTTATTATTTATCACCACCTCGCTTGGCCAAATACTTTTGTTTAATGATTTGAGAAAAGCCTCCGGGCAACTTGAGCGATATGTCCTACGTAAATTGTTTCCCCAAAGCATATTGGATATTGACGTATCGTCTCGAAATGAATAGTAAGCCATAATACATTTAAAGTGGATTTACTGGCCAACATGTAAATACCACGAGCGCCTCACCAAGGACTCATGAAATGAAAGAAAAGTATTTGGGTGACTGATACAACAGAGGCCTTTAACCTGTGTCTCTGTTTACGCGAACCTGTTCGCAACGCATTCCTGTACCTATGACATTGAGACCGCTCAAACCACCTGATTAATATTCTTAGGTTTTTTCGGTAAAGTCACGTAGGTAAAACATCAAAATTAATACAAATAAAATAAAACAATTAATTTTGATGTTTTACCTACGTGACTTTACCGAAAAAACCTAAGAATATGAATCCTTGCAGTCACGAAAGCTTCAAATCTAGAACACCTGATGAATCTTTTTCACATCGGGCTTCTTTTTGAAATCAAATCGATGAACATCCCTCTAACGTGGTTTATTATTAGCCAAAATGCAGAAGCTCTAAAGACACACGGTTAACCCCCATAATTGTTACAACGTGGAACGGATTTATGGAGCGGTGGCCTCTTTTGTACGGGTGCCGCCGTGTGGTGTGTCGACGGTCAGCGCAACCCGAGGTGCAAATTCAGAGGCCGCCGGTTCGATCTGTCGGGCGCAGCTGTGCGAGTATCCCACAGTTTTTTATGCACACGTGATCCCCCGTCCCCATCAGAATCTAGGCTTCGCACCTGATTCGCTCACAAGTGACGATATCGGATTTACCCCTCTAGAAAGGACCGAAACAGGAGGATTTTCCCACAACTCTGGCTGTCGCCTGATGATGCCGGTTGTAATTACCGGCGAAACGTCATAGCCAAATTGTAAATGTTGTGGGTTTACTCACCAACACACCGGTGTACTGAACGGGTGGTGGTGGGTTTAGCGACACATTGAAATTTACGCAATCTAACCCAAAAACCTCTAGTATGGATAATATTGGTCGCGAAAGCCTACGTGTTAAGCAAAATACTGGGTCGGCAGCTCCCTTTGTGGCGGTGTAAAGCGTGGGTACTCATCCAAGGCGTCTGGAGAGTAGGCCGCGTACCCTCTGGAGAGGATTCTCTGTCGAGTCGAGTGGAGGGCCTTTCTGCCAGCAGTGACATGAGCAATGCATTGCAGAGCTGCGCCTTTATCACTTGTAAATGGAGTAGCTTTTAAACTCCGTTTACGCCAGCCTCCAACTCCCCAAGCACTTATCGTGAGAAGGTGTTCAAGTGTATTTATGGGAAGAAGAAAAAAAAACAACACCAGGAGTGTTTAGATGCAGTTTTAAAGCACACTTTATTTAAGTCAATTACAAATAAAAGAACAGTAATCACGTTCCCTTTTATGAACGTTTATAGAGACATTTACATGTTCTGCATTAGTTGTCAACTCATTACAATATAACAGGTTTGCATTTTCCAAGTAACTACATCATACCATCTAGTCACTTGCAGATACATGACATTTGCATAAAAACGTCAATTGAAAGCTGGGAACTATTGGTATTAATCATTCTATTTAACTATGCCAGTTACACTATTTACATAAATATTGTGTGGAATGAATACTGGATGAACATGTTAATGACTGTGCAAGCCTAAAGCAATGGTTTCATCCATTACAATGTAACATTTTTCTTATTTCATGGGCTAACGGTTTCATATCGAATATACGAGATATATATATGAAAACAAAACTTTACTTCTCTTCGTGTTTTTTTTATCCACAACAAACACACTTTCTTAAAATTCTACATGCGGTACATTCAACTTACGGAATTGAAAAAAACAACAACTTTTAATTAGAGCATGCATAAATACAAAATAGCTGCTGAAGCGTATAATACCATATCAAAATAGATATTTGGTCAAGGAACACTGGCATCAACAACACAGTAAATAACGCGACACAAAACAGCATTACGGAGGACACGCGCAATATACATTTTTTTCACGAACACAACGGCGTGTTGTGATGCTGCGCGCACGTATTGCCATTGTACGTACGTGGAACTTCTTTCGCACCGCACGTAGCCAACCGTTGCTAATCGGAGGTGTGGGGGAGAAGGACAAATATCGTTTCGATTTAAAGCTTTCTTGACTGCAGGGAATCATCTTCTTGGTTCTTTCGGTAAAGTCACGTAGAAGGGAAGTAATGTATTTTATTATGTTTTATTTTTATTATTTCATTACTTCCCTTCTACGTGACTTTACCGAAAGAACCAAGAAGATGACAAATATCGTATTACGGGAACCGTGAAAAACCGCACGCGGATTAACCCCCCCCCCCCCCCCCCCCCAGTAGTGGTGGTTGCAAGAAAGACGGGGCGCGGGGGGTGATCAGGGCAGGAGTGGCATAGCGCGGTTGGCATGGGCGCTGTTGCAAATAAACCATGGGCCCCTGCGGGTCCCAGTGCAAGGGATGTAATACAAAACAAAAGTTGTTGCCATGGCAGGTGCTGCTAATCTGGGATCGGCAATCTTGTGAGCCCCCCACATCGATGATTTTGCACAGCTCAGCACAAAGTCACGTCTAGGACCACCTGCAATGTAGCTGAGGAACACTGGCATCTTCACGCCGAAGATTGCGGCTGTTATGATAGGAAAGAACCAAAGGCATTGCATGTTGTGAATACCTTCTGTGTCGCTGCGCATACTGCGTTACATGTTGCTACATTCTTGATTTGAAGCTTTCGTGACTGCAGGAATCCATACTCTTTGGTTCTTTCGGTAAAGTCACGTAGAACCAAAGAGTATATTGCTACATTTTTTTTATTTCACGCAATTTACAGCCCTTCCTCAATCCACTGCTGGACTGAGACCTGCCCACACCGTCTTGGTAATGGGGTTTGTTTGATTATAATTCACCACGCTGGTCAGTGTGGGTGAAGGGACTGGGATGGACTGGTTTAAGTATCACTCGCCACTGATATTAGACGTGGTGGGGAATCGAACTCAGGTTGCCCGGTTCAAAGTGCAGTGCAGAACCACTTGCAATGCCGCTCACCACCCATTTGACTTATCACTGCTTTTTAATTAAAAAAATATATTTTAATACGTTTTTTTAATACTCCGAGGACTTTTTATTTTTAACACTCTCCAACTAAGGTTGAAAGCGTTGATGCATTATTCCATCTGTCTGTCAGTCTGTCTGCTCAGTCTGTCGAAAGGGTCGGCTAGAACTCAAAGCCTTACAATTTATTGTCTGCAGTAAATTAAACGGGGGTTAGCCTTTTAACCACGGCAAAGACATCGCACAGTGTGCACACGCATCCGATGGCATCGTTAGACGCGATGTCATCTCGCACTATCACGAGTCGTGTGCCATTTTCTCGCGACGTTCTGTGTCACGTCACGTAATTGAGCTCTAACACTCCATTTATTTATTCATCATCATCATTACTGGCCATGAGCAAGACACTTCTGGATGAAGGCCGCTCCAAGCCACTGTAATTTCTATTTTTAAAAAAGCGATGTAACGATCCACCTAGACATCCTCTGGGGCACGTTCCATTCTTTGGCTGCCACTCCATCACTTCCCTTGACCGTTGCTCATCTTCGAGTGACGAGTCCTGTTGTCAAGAGTTAAGAAGCCATTGATGCGCATGATTGTTCATCCTCGTTTTAAATTAATGTCGCTACTTTTATTGCTTATACTGCACCATGGAAATAGAAAGAAACATCAAGCAACTAACACCAGGACATTTGAGAACTACATGAATTATTATATATATTAAAAAAAAAGTCACACTTGACAGCAGAAACCTAAAATAATTTGAGTTTTTAAAAGCCTGTTAGATAAGCTGCCCTTACATACGAATGTCTGCAAATCCTCTACACCAAGTAAAACAGTCCATAGATTAAGATCTTGTATGACCTCCATCACGAATCTGCTTCACTTCACTGCATTGTTTAACTATATATCACGTATGCTTTATCTAGCAGCTCCTTCTAGTTTATCACAGCCCTGAACTCAAAGTGTATGCTATTATTTTTTATGACCTACACTGCAGATATTTGTCAGCAATGATATTGGACCTGATCTCAAAGACTGAATCGGTGTCGTAACATTATCTATAATCAAAGATTACCGTAACATAATCTATGTTACGTAAACAGTATTGTGCGTAATCATTGGTTTTTATTTATAGGTAAAAAAAAATATAAAGGTAAAGTTGCACTCCTGCAAGTGCTTGGTCACGTGACCGCTGGTGGAAGGGCATCCACTAGTTGGAGCTGTAGAGATTCTCGCTCATGAAATTATTTTCTTATACCCTTCCACGCTGGCTATACATCTTGGAAGAGGTGTGAACACCCACACTTTACCCCCCACGCCATGCGACTAGGGTGATGCGGTGGCGAGATGTTAACTACCTCGCCTGGTATACGGGAGGTCATGGGTTCCATCCCAAGGCTGACGTTTATATATTTGGAGTTTGCATGTTTCTCTCCCCGTGGTCGCATGGATCTTTCTCCAGACCCTCCGGTTTTTCCCTGCACATTTATAAATGTGCGTTTAGATTATTTGGCTGTTATAAATTTCCACATAAACCATTTCGTTGAACTATCATTTGTGGCCAGCTCGCTTCTGTAAAAAAAAGAGCTATATAGCTCAGTTGGGCCTTACCTGGTAAAATAAATAAAAGATAATCAACATGGGGTGTGGCATTTAAGAAACTTTCTTCAATTAGCTTGCCGGGAGATCGATTTTCGCCAACGACCTCTGGATTACAAGTCGCGTGCGATAACCATTACACTGCAGCAGCATCCCAAGTGATGTGCTAGTTTATTTTGAATTCTTGCAAAGGCATTTTCCACGTGAGCACTTCTTCACGCAGTTGAATACAAATTCTGACCGGCTGTTGTGGTGAATAATGGACACTTAATACAATGTTTTGGCAAAAAAATGTCATTGGGATATTTAAAATTGACCAAAAGCTCTCACCGTGGTCGGCACCTGGAACAGCAACGAACAAAAAACAACAAGCACTCTGTTGAGGCTGCTTAAAAATCCATAACAATAACAGCTGTTGACATTTTAAAATGCAATATCAGCGCGGCTTGTGCCTCAGTGTCACTTTTTGTTCAGCAATTAAAGAATGGCAATAAACTAGCGATCAGGCCGGTTAGGAAGCTGATTGCTCTAAATATGAGCCTTCCAAGCACCGCCCACCCCCCTCTGGGGGGATCGCAAACTTTTGAGAGCGTGACCGCGACAATTGGGACAACTCAAACGGCAACGCAAAAACGACAGCAGACAGACGAAGCGCGTCAATTTGGAAGCGGTGGCTTTGTTTGGCGCCAGGGTTTTGGTTGACACGGCCAACGATAATCACTCCCTCGCGCAACGGGAGCGAACATGGAGGTGGACGTGCAGCCCTGCACATAGACTTTCTGGCGGGAGGGCATCAAACTTGAGCTCAAGAGGGCTGCTCTACAGACCGGGAAATTTGGTCTACTCTTCCAAGCCGGCCAGACATCTTCAGAGAGGTTGTGAATTACCTACCCCAAGTTGTTTTTGTTTGTTATTCCTTGTCACACGTGACCTGCTGATCGAACTCACTGTGCTGCAGCCATTTATACTGCTGGGTGGACAGAGGTGGGGGGATTTAGGAAGCTTACCCATTGATTCATGAATATAGTTTATTTTTGTGTTAGATCGTGTAGGTATAATAGAATTTTCTTACACGAAGTATATATCTATTTTTTTTACTTTAACCCTCCATCACCCATTTGACAGAGTCCATCAAATCACGTTGATTGGCTCTGTCAGGTGGTGGAGCGTTATAGTTATAACATTGACATTATATCCACGCGATGATGTCACCCAAAATAACCGAATCGTGAGCCATAACATCGATCGCGAAAGCACTGCGTGTCACATTTCGATTTAAAGCTTTCGTGACTGCAGGGATTCATCTTCTTGGTTCTTTCGGTAAAGTCACGTAGAAGGGAAGTAATAAAATAATAAAAATAAAACATAATAAAACAATTCTCACGACGTTTCGGCCACAAAGCAAAGCAGCCGTCCTCAGGTGAAGAATGAAACACCACCAAGCTTGGAGCGTAATATTTAAGCTGCGTGTCAAGTTAAACTCATCCGGCGTCTCATAGCGTTGCGTTGAATCGAACCAGCGACCTATCGGATCGCAAGCCCCGGGCGCACTGACCATTAAAAACCGTGGCAGCCGTTCACAGGCACGGGAGGGGGGGGGGGGGGAGTCGAGGCTGCACGCCAAAGGTTCCCGCTGACTCACCCGCTGTCGGCTGATCACCGCACGCCACGGTCCCCTGCCGCAGTATCACCGGTGAAAGGGTTAATCCCGGTGCGGATTCCGTGACCTGATGGAATGGAATCTGCTCTCTGACATTGGCTCTTAGAGCCTCTATAGAGTAGAGGGCAGAAAGGGGGGGAAGGCTCCGGGGACTGGAACAGGGGAGATGTGTGCTGCATCGAGTTTAGCCACTGATGGCTCCAAGATGAATGCTGTTGTCACACCGCATCTTTGCTAACCATCCGAACGCTGCCTTAACGTTCGCCGATGTAACGGCGGGAAATCTCGTACCAAAAACAAGTCGCGCCCGCCTGCTGAATAACCTTGTCCGCCGAATATTGATGTTATTTATTCTGCGGCGGTTTGATGGATTCCATTTATGTATTTGTTCCCCAATTTTCCGTATTTTATCGTTTCAGTTAAAACATCCACGTGGCCTTCCCTTCCTAATGCGCCGAGAACATTAGAATTAAATATTCAGCGCCTCGGCGTACCACGTGTGTCCTCCGCTATTAGATAGGACGCATTAAAATGTGTAAAGCGCAAGTAATGCTGATGGATGGGTTTGCTGCCAAACACATACTTTTGTTTAAGCCTCGCGATAACGAGGCCATAGCATGACTCCCACAGATAGCGCGCGCGTGTATCTATCATGGCGGAGGAGCAGTCCACTGAAACATACCTTGTGTATACACAATTCAAGCAATTCCAGCCAGGACCCCCATTCATTGTTCAAAGAAGCCCAAGCTGACAACATCCAACGATGAACACGAAGCACGGCAAACCGCACCTGAGAGGCGGGCAGACGGAACCTGGATGCACCCGTGAGCCATTGCGTTTTGCCAAAAGACGTACAGGCAAAATGCCACTGATCATTTACTGGCAAGCCCGTCTTAATGGGATATTGAATTCCGTGGTAATAATGACATTGACCAAGCGTAATCAGCACCGACACGTACAGCACGTGCTCGCTCTCTCCACGCACGTATCTATCTATCTGCCTATTAAATAAATCTGGACCGTGGGTTAAGCACGTGCGAGTTAGACGGTGGAGTGCAGGCTCGGCCGGGACTCTGCTGGATGTGTGTAGTAATGATTTTCCCGGTCCTTCTCCCCGTCTGTTCCCGCTGCCGCGACAGCCCTGCCCATCTGTGGCGCGGCGAGCGTGCGCATTCCGAGCTCGCACGCTGCCTCTCGGCGCAGCCTGAGCTCCGTCTGGTGTCCCGCCACCCCTCCCGGGCCGCAAGCAAAGCGGCCCAAGAGCAGCGGAACTTCGTGCTGCAGCTGGCGCTGGGGTGGCCGGTTTTGCTGCTGTTGCTGCTGCTGCATCGCCGACACGGAGCGGCGGTTCACCATGGGCGCGGGGCAGAAGCCGGCAAACTCCTCGGGGCTGCACCGTCGGCAGGTAGACGAGCACTTGGTGCCGAGCGTAGCCGAAAAGAGCATGGGCCTTTGTTGCGGCGGCGGCTGCTGCTGCGGCTGCTGTTGCTGCAGCTGCTGCTGAATTTGTGTCTGCGTTTGCTGAGCGCTCTGCTTCTGGATGTGAGTGCGGCCGTCGGCGGTGACGAGCCTGCGCTCCTGCGTCTGGGTTCCGCCGAGCAGTGCGGACGGGATGTAGTGGATCTCGTTGTTGGCCAGCTCGGCGCCGGCCGGGCAGGTCATCTTGGACTGCCCGCTAGCCCCCCGAGGGCAGCAGATGCTGCCCCCGCTGCTCGGGTGCTGACGCCAGCGGCGACGGGCGAAGAGAGCCAGCATGACGAGCAGGACGAGGAGGAGAAGGGCGATCAGCCCACCCTGTGAAATCGGACGCACATCAAGTACATTATCATTAGCCACGCAGCTGCTTCTCCCACCATTTAACAAATAGGGCGTCTCTTGACTGTGCACATCAGCGGAGCTGCTAAGGATCGCGCCAGCGAAGCGAGATGGTGCGGCAACAATTTTGACGTTAACATTCATTAAAAGAGTGCAATTGACTACTCGGAAGTCTATCGCGTTACTCGCATATTTTTTTTTTAAAGCCATTATCTAGAACTTAATGTGCTGAATGAAATCAATAACGAGTGCACTTTACATTGTAAAACAATGGCACTTTATCCCTCAAAGGATTATGACTTCAAGAAATTGGATACGGCAGAGGACGCTGCGCCGGCGAGAGAAAACCTGTCGTCTGAACAGCTTGTCAGCACGTCCATATACCTCTGCAAGAAGGGAGAGGCTCGTGAGCGTTATTCTTTCACACCTTTTGGAGAAAGATGACAATTAAACAAAAACAGCTTGCACCCGATGAAACGTACCCACGTGCCAATTAAAGAAATAACTTGTAACTTCACGAAATTATTTTACGAACTTAATTTTAAGGGTACAATTTTTTTAAGCCAATTCCCAAACTATTTCTCTCAGTCCCATTTTCAAATGAGCTTCCAGTGTGGAAATTATTCTTTTGAATGGTAATGTACAAATGCTGCATTATACGCTATGTCAACTTTTGTCGTCAGATCCTCGCTATAATATCACGGATTAATCAGCATCACACCCGGTGTCACGTGGCTTTCTCTGTGGGCTGACACAAACAACCGGCAAAGCTTCCAATTATTCTATTCAAATGGTAACACATTTCACAGGCCGATGTCAGGACACCACCGTTAATGTCTATTGATGTATGGCACTGGATTGGTGTCTTAATTTTAACGCAGCGGGGAGCGGGGAATGTTTATCCATGAATTTTGATGTTGGCAATTATCGTGCGTTGTAACGAGCTTCCTATTCCGATTTTTTTTTCACGGGACACCACATCATTAATTGTCACTGCTTTCTTGCAAAAGCGGTACCGGCTCGTGTGTATTTGTGTGAGCGTGCATAATTTTTTTCAAAAGACACCGTGTTTATATGCGCCTTGGGCAATTCCCAAGATTACATAATGATTTAAAAATCAACACATGTAGAATTCAACATCTTTAACATCCCTACTTACTCACATCCTCAGACGAGACTGCTTACGTGCAAGCCCTTCACAGCTTTGTAATCTGTCACCATTTTCATCCATTAAACCAGCAAGCTTTGCTTGCATTTTTCAACCAATTTTCTTCTTTTTTCGTTCTCCATCTAGGTGGTTGCGATGAAACGGCCTCCCCCACTACTCCCCCTTCACACTCCCCCCCCCCCCCCCACACATTGTGGGCCCAATGGGACAACTTAGCATTTTCTTTCACTGGAAGGCATCCAAGAGCCAGCGATAAACAGATGGTGCCAATCTGCAGGAACGTAAAAATAAAAAGGCCATGCAGTGAAATAATTCTACCTTAGAGTAGTAGTAGTAAGGAGCCGAGAGCACCATGAAAAATGTAATACTTGTGGAAAATTGGTAAAAAAAAAGGAAAGCCTAATAGAAATATAAACGGCAACATTAAAGAAATGAAATGGTTCATATGGGCAGGCGTACACATACAAGTTTGGTGATTGCTGTAATGCAGGTCTCTCAGTAAAGCCACACACATTCCAAATTTCATCCCAATTGGCGTTGCCATATAAGAGCCCCATTAATTTTCCATTCTACCCACCCTGTGTGCCTGGCAGATGGGTGCCACGTTACCCTGGAGTTGTGGCAAATTAGTGTATTTAATTTAACGTGAATTTCAGAAATGAAGGCCCGAGGAATTCATTTTTTGTCGCTTTCTTTTTTTGCAGCTAGTTGCTGATCATGAATATTTCACACCCATGTGGTGAACTCTTTGCGCTGATGGAACGTACTATTTGCTGCGCAGTAACGAAGCTCTGGCGATGCTTCTGCTGTGGCTGTAACGGTTAAGCTACTCGGGACTTGCGACCTAGAGGTCGTCGGTTCGATTTGATCTCCAGGCGCGGCAGCTGAAAAAGTGGTGCAAGGTTCTCAAATGCCTTCCGCCCCGCCTCTGTCCACCCAGCAGTATAAATTGGGTACCACCACAGTCAATCGGTTGGTCGTCTGTGGTGGGGTAAAGTGTGGGTATGCCGACCGTTTTCAAGACAATCTGGTCACTGTGGAAGAGTAGGCTAAACACCCTCTAGAGGGGCCTCTGTCGAGCTCCCGATAGTGGAGGGATATACTTTGTGTGTGTGGTTTTTTAGAAGCCCTCCATTCTGGGGTTGTCCAATAGTTATGACATTTATTGTGGGGAAACGTCATCGGCATACGTAACAATGTCATTCAAAAACTCCTGGCCGTGCAATCTGCTCTTGATAATCGCTTTTGGAGTTCTTTGTTTATTCACAAGTCTGCAATGCAATAAAAGATACACATTTAAATGGTAACCACTCTGAAATTCCCCAAATCCTTCAATCAATCTTTTACCTCTGCCGAGGGCCTTTTATTTCTCCAGAGGACATTATACATGCTGATAAAAAATGTATAGAAGAGTTACATATGCATGCGTTAGGGTGAAGCGGTGGTGCGGTGCTGAGCGTGCTGCGATTTGAGAAGAAAGGGGCATATTCTGGACTGGGTCATATATCACTCACCACTGATGCTTCCTATGTCCAGGAATCAAACTCAGGTCCCCAGGTTCATAGTGCAACATGCAATCTACCTCTCCAGCACTCTCCACTATAAATAATACAAATCCAACCCAACATAACGTGCATTTTATCTAATTAGTTTAACAACATACCTGGTGTAGAAAATAACACTCTTCTTAACACGGTTTTAGAATTACTTTTATTTTAGCAGGCAATGCCCACTGAGCTATTTAGATTGTTTTAGAAGCAACTTGGCCACAAATGATAGCTCAACGAAGTGGCTTATCACGTGGACATTTATAACATGCTTCTAAACGTGGAGGGAAAAGCTGGAGGATCCGAAGAAAAATGAATGTAACCACCGAGAGAGCATGCAAACTCCAAATACACAGGTGTCAGGGTTGGGATCGACCTCCTGAATATTGGGCAAGGTAGCTCCCAGCTCTTGAACCTGAGACTATTTGCACAGTTAATTTAAGCACATCGTCTGATGATAATAATAACACATCCAAATGTGTTTTTTAAGAATATTACGAACGACGGTCTCGGGATATTTCTTTTGCAATTCGACTGCACAATATTTGATGTTTATATTAGATGATTCACAAGGAACTTAGGGGCCGTCCATAAATGACGTCACGCACCTAGGGGGGGGGGGGGGAGACATTTGTGATGATGTGTGACGAGGGGGGGAGGGGTTTGAGAAATGTGACGTCACATCAAAATGCGCAACTTTAAATAAATATAGACAACACGTTCTACTTAATTAAATAGACGTTTTAATAAATGTTTTCTCCTACAACATCAGAGTGCAGCGGCACATTAAATACGCACTACAATGACAATAGTTTAAAGCGATTTGAAGCATGTTGAATTTTTTTTTGGGGGGGGGGCAGAGCTTTGTGACGTCATATTTGAGGGAGGTCTGACTTTTTGTGACGCCGTGTGACGAAGGGGGTGGGGGGGGGGTCAAAATCGTTCAAAATCGCGTGACGTCATTTATGGACGGCCCCTTAAAACAATTCATATTTTCCTTAATGCTGCTGGTACTATTATTGCACAAACTGAGCCTTACATCAACCAGAATATCATCAAGAGCAGATGACGATTTAATCACCAATGCATATTTCAGATTTTGTTCATTGTACCTCCACAGCTATCCATTGGCTGTCCACGTTACGAAAAGCACGTAACGCATTCACGCTACCCCCTCCGTAGATGTCCCAGTTATTTCTTGGTTCACGTATTTGCCGCACACACCCTGAAGCTATGTGTACTGGCGCAGATAAAAAAAAAGGAATTTAAAAAACACTAATACAACAACCCTCAGGGGAAAATTGTCGCCTCATTTTGGGCCGTGACACCTGCAACAACAACACAGAGAGCCACGGCAGCTGAATGCCGTCGTTTACGCGAAAACGTTTACGCCTCACTTCGCTTTACGCGACGCGCGCACATCACCTCGCAAGAAGTAGAAGAAGACGAAAAAAAAAACCCCATCGCAAAATATTGCGCGCGAAAGTGTCGTTGGAGCAAATGGGTGGCAATGGCGAGAAGGGGGGTTGTTAGAGCTGGCGCGCGCACGCACGTGCACGCACGCACGCGCACGCACGCACGCACGCGCACGCACGCGCATGCACGCGCACGCACGCGCACGCACGCACGCGCATGCACGCGCACACACGCACACACACGCACGCGCACGCACACACACGCGCACGCACGCACGCGCACGCACGCACGCGCATGCACGCGCATGCACGCGCCACCGTCGTTTTCACGCAACGCACGGCGTTGCAGAGTGGTTGCGAGGGCAACCTCAGGATTACGAAAAAAAATAAGCATTGGTGTTGAGCCTTTCTGAAAACACAACAGGTGTTAAGTTGTTCGAGCCTCAACTACAAACCTTTTGTAAGGAATCAATCACTGCATTAAGTACACGTACTTGTGGTGAACTTATAGACATGTCTTCTTCTTTAGAAGACTGCCTCTCTAGTGGAGGGCAATCAGTTTCAAAGAAAAATGAATATATTACAATCAGAGGATGTTTTGTTTGCATGTTCAGCACAAGTACTTGTGGTTCATGCGGACTTGATTCATTGAAAAATGTATTTATTTGGTGTTTGAAAATGTTAACACGTGTTGTATTGCCAGAAAGGAAACAACCTATTCTGACTTTTCATACTTTTACACTGGCATGATATAACCTCAGGATTACCGCGTAGGCTTTCGCGACTAGCATATTATCCGTAACTCTCCAACACACCGGTATGCTGAACTAGTAACGATCTGGTGATGTT